CAGAACAGAACAGAATAGCAGAGTTGGAAAGGACCTTGGAGATCTGCCAGTCCAAATTGCTTCGGTAGGAAACCATATAGCATTTCAGAAAAATGGTTATCCAATCTCTTATTAAAAATATCCAGACTTGGAGAATTTACAATTTCTAGAGGCAAGTTGTTTCACTGATTAATTGTTCTGTCAGGAAATTTTTCCTTAGTTGTAGATTGCTTCTCTTGTTGATTAGTTTCCACCCATTGCTTCTTGTCCTGTGTTCAGGTGCTTTGGAGAATAGATTGACTCTCTCTTCTTTGTGGCAGCCCCTGAGATATTAGAACACTCAGGGGTTGGATTCTACCAGTTCGCATCTATTCACTGGAACCAGTTGTTAACTTTCTATGCAGTAAGGAGAACCAGTTGTTAGAAGAAATCTCCTTTTGTTTTTTTCCACTTTACTGGCCTAATCCTGTAAAGAAGGCAGGAAGGAAACATTCTGGTGTTGTTGCTTACAAAAACTGCCTCTCTGTTAACCCTTATTATATTCTTGGCAAGACTAGACTTCCTTCTCTGGAGTTTTTTTTTTCCTCCTTTGCTGGTACTTTGCTTGTGTGGCGCCCGAAATTGATATATGTGTAGCCATTTCACTTGAAAACCTGACAGCTTGACTTTCTTAAAGGGAAAGGTTCTTTTAAGCTTTTTACACTGCTGTTGTGAGGAAATACTCCCCTGTTGGAGTTAGCACTTTGAAGAAATAATTGAATAACAGAGTAGAGCTGCTGGAAAGAAGCTTTTAATGACAAGGAACCAAGATGAGTGACATTCAGCAAGGCTTCTTGGCTAGCTGGAAAGATTGGCATTCAAACATGAATTTACATATCTTTTCTGAGTTTTGGTCTAAAACTGATTTTTGGTGAAGTTTAATTCTGTGTTTATTGATGGGATAATTTTCCCTATTCAGCTTTGATTGGAAGGAAAAAGGTTAATCTCTGTTCCTGAAAAATTGAGAAATCTGGCTAGTTCCTGTGTCTATTTGTTCTGGTTTAACAAGTAACAGCTACTGTTGTGATTTAATTATTTGTATTGTGTTTGAATTTTTCCTGCCTCATGCTTTCTTTTTCTATCTGCGGAGAGGGGTCTTCCTTCACTGCTTTAGTGGTATCTTGCACTGTCCTTTTGGGTTGTATTTCTAAGAGGCAGGACGCAAGGTTGGCGTAATTTTTTTACTGCCTTTCGGGGGGAGGGCATGTGATCTTTCCTTAAATCTGGATGATTTCCTTAGGATATCTTGTGATTCCTTAGGATATCTTGAGGTGAATGAGACCAGCCGGTGTCTTTAAGTGGTACAAAAGGATCTAAGGATCGCTGAGTGTGTTCTCCTGAGTGTGCTCTTTCTGGAGAGCTTAAATGACCTCTTGATAAAGGGTTTCACTTTATGAGCAAGAGTTGGCTGCTGATAGTTATCATTGCATTTTAACTATTTTAATTCCTCAAGGTGCTCTGGCACCCTGCATGATTTGTAACTCCCAGCTTGCAGGGATTTTTAATCTAATGATTGGTATTTAGGGCAGCTTTTTGCAAGCAAAGAAGCTTTTTGTATGTTTGTACAGGTAATCCTTGACTTACAACAGTTCATTTAGTGACCATTCAAAGTTACAATGGCACTGACAAAAGTGACTTATGACCGTTCTTCACATTTATGACCATTGCAGCATCCCCACAGTCATGAGAGGCCAGGCGAGGAGAAACGCCTCTCAATGTGAGTGATATTGAGTTGGCCATGCCCAGCCAGTCACATGGCTACCAAGCCATGCCCACCAACTAAGCCACATCCACAGAACCGGTTGTTAAAAAAATTGAATCCCACCCAACAATGCTATTACTCCTGAGTCCTTCTTTTCATCAAACTAGACATACCCAATTCCAGCAACCATTCTTTATAAGTTTTAGCCTCCAGTCCCATGTATGTATGTATGTATGTATGTATGTATGTATGTATGTATGTGATCTACTTCATATAATTATATGTTTCTAATTAATCATAATATTTTATTTTGGTGAAAACCAATTTTGCAATATTTATGAAATGAACAGTCCCATCAAACTAACTTTCTCTATATATTTATTTAAATATATATTGAGAGTTAGTTTGATGGGATAGTTTTAGATTAGAAGTCTGAGACTATTAATTCTAATCCCACTTTTAAGACAACATTGGCTGGGTTACTTTGTGCCAATCTCTATCTTTCAGTCCTTGGAAGCAGGCAATGGAAAACCATTTTAGAAAATCTTGCCAAGAAAATCACAGGGACTTGTCCAAGTAATGATCTTGGACTTGAAGGCACAATAAACAAACATATATTATAGTTATTTTTGTTCTACTTTTATATCATTATTAAATCAACCATTAAGACTCCTTTATACTAAATAGCAGATGAATTATGTTTCTTTTTTTCTAAACTAGATTAAATACTATTATTTATACTCTATTGCACATTATGATGAAATGTCCTACAAAAATCATACTAATAAAGGAGAACATTTGTAGCTCAGGGGTCTCTGAGCTTGCTTGTTTTCTTGTAGACTGATGATGTTACCTACTTCGTTTTCTTGCAGCACTGATGTTACCTAATTTGGGAATGAAACTTCTGCAGGCAAACAAGATTTGAGAGCATCAAAGACCCCTAAAGAAATCATATTTCTATTCAATTCAGATTGATTTATTGCAGTTAAAGAGTGATATAATGCTAGCTATATTTGATCCACCAGGAAGTACAGATAGTCCTCAACTTAACAACCATTCACTTAGTAACTGATTGAAGTTACAACAGCATTGAAAAAACTGACATATGCCCATTTTTCATACTTATGACTGTGGTAGCATCCCTGTGATCATGTGAGGTTGTGTGTTTACTTTTTGTGACTTTTTGACAAGCAAAATCAATGAGGAAGCCAATTTAGTTAACAACTGTGTTACTAACTTAACACCTTCCATGTTTTATTTAACATGTGTGGTAAGAAAGTTTGTAAAATGGGGCAAAATTCACTTCACAACTGTTTCTGTTTAGCAACAGAAATTTTGGGTTCAACTGTGGTTGTAAGTTGAGGACTACCTATATATAAAAATGTGTTGATTTGCAGTACAAGTTCTAAACATGAT